TTTATAAAAAACAAACAATCAAAAAGGGTGAAGCTAGAGTAGTAGATGGGTGGGCAGCTGCATTGACTGTTGTTTGTTTTTTGTTTGGGGGATGTTTTTGTTTTTTAATTTAGATATAATTGACATATTACATTAGTTTTTTAGGTGTATGACATAATATTCCAATATTTATATATATTACAAAATGATCCCCACAATAAGTCTAGTTAACATCACCATCACCATACATAGTTAAAATTTTTTTTTCTTGTGATGAGCACTTTTTTTTTTTTTTTTCGCGGTACGCGGGCCTCTCACTGTTGTGGCCTCTCCCGTTGCGGAGCACAGGCTCCGGACGTGCAGGTTCAGCGGCCACGGCTCACGGGCCTAGCCGCTCCGCGGCATGTGGGATCCTCCCGGACCGGGGCACGAACCCCTGTCCCCTGCATCGGCAGGCGGACTCTCAACCACTGCGCCACCAGGGAAGCCCTGATGAGTACTTTTGAGATCTACTTTCTTAGCAAGTGTCAAATATACAATACAGTACTATTATCTATAGTCACTGTGCTGTACATTACATCCCAGGACTTATTCATGGGCTGTCATTTTTGAATCAAGGGCCTATGGGTAAGGGTACTTGGGGCATAATGACCATATTTTATGGAGGTGAGCACTTCCTCCTCTAAGTCCTCTAGTCTAGACACACACCCTCCTTTAAAAAAAAAAAAAAAAAGGGCTTCCCTGGTGGCGCAGTGGTTGAGAGTCCGCCTGCTGATACAGGGGACACGTGTTCGTGCCCTGGTCTGGGAAGATCCCACATGCAGCGGAGCGGCTAGGCCCGTGAGCCATGGCTGCTGAGCCTGCGCGTCCGAAGCCTGTGCTCCGCAACGGGAGAGGCCACAACAGTGAGAGGCCCGCGTACCGCAAAAAAAAAAAAAAAAAAAAAATTTTGTTCTGGTGCTAGGAACCTGAGGTTTGGTGGAGAATTTTCCCCGAGTTGCTCCTGACTATATCTTGACCTAAAAGCCTGTATAAAATCTGTCTCACACAAAATGGCTTGTGGAAATGACCACCATTCCCCCCTCAAAAGCAGCACCTCACCTCCAGCCCCTAAGCCCACCACCTTGAGGGAGGGAACAGCTGAAGCTTCCAAAAAGCTGCCAGTCTCTGTGTCTGGAAAAGGAGAAGTTGGGATAGGTAGAATTTCATATTCACAGAGAGCAAGGAAGAGAAAGAGACCATTGTCTGCCTGAAGCCAGGTTTTCTGATCCGATTCCCAGAAACCTCACTCTTCTCCAAATACCCAAGCACAGCAGTTCCTTCCAAACCCATCCTGAGGAGCACCTTTAAAAAAATCACAATCATCAGTTCAAAAGAATTTGTACCTAAAAATGTTCTTCATAAAAAATTTTTGTCTTGGGCTTCCCTGGTGGTGCAGTGGTTAAGAATCCGCCTGCCAATGCAAGGGACACGGGTTCGAGCCCTGGTCCAGGAAGATCCCACATGCCGCAGAGCAACTAAGCCCATGCGCCACAACTACTGAGACTGCGCTCTAGAGCCCGCAAGCCACAACTACTGAGCCCACGTGCCACAACTACTGAAGCCCGTGCACCTAGAGCCCGTGCTCCACAACAAGAGAAGCCACCACAATGAGAAGCCCACACACCACAACGAAGAGTAGCCCCTGCTCGCCGCAACTAGAGAAAGCCTGCGTGCAGCAACGAAGACCCAAGGCAGCCAAAAATAAATACATAAATAAAAAAGAAAGATTCTTAAAAAAAAAAATTTTTTTTCTCTACATATGTGAACACCTACCATTCACTTAGCACTTAAAAGTTTTGAGTTATAACACCAGTCCTGAAGAAGATTTTAACTGGTCTCTACTTATTTTACTGAAATTAGAATACGCAGCCACCAAGTAAACTTGTTTACCCTTATATTATCCATAAGATCGGTTAATCTAGAGGGAAATCATCATGAGTTTATAGCCAACTTTGCTTTTCATATAAAATTAAAACACCCAAAGAAACAAAAACCACTTTACTGAAAAGGATATACAATTTTAAATTTTAAATAAAATATAATTGCCTATTATGACTAAATTACAGTCTCCCTGCTCTTTATTAGTTAGTAATCCCTGGTTTTCTTACCTAGGACCTGCCTGGTTCCTGACATTGGCATTCTCATTAGATCAAGAACTCTGTGAACTCAGGCTCATGTCTGTCTGGGTCACTGCAGGAGCCCCAGGGCCTGGCATACTGCCTGCCTCACCTTAGGGGGCCAGAAATATCCCTTCAAAGACTGAGTGAGTGGACACAATCCAGCACCAGGGCTTTAGAATAAGCTGAATATGGTTGGATTATTTCTGGAGTGTCTGGAAGGAGACAGATAGAATTTAAGGGATAAATGTGAATCAGAGCAGAGGAAGGGAGCTAAGACCAAAGGATTATCAAATGTGTTTTGGTTTTTGTCTCCCCAAGCCCTCCCTAGGGGATTTTTATGAGGCCAAAAATAAGAGATAAGGGGAAAGTTCAGGCAGAGGACATCAGGAACTTCTCAGGAACTCAGGTGTGAATAGGGCAAAGAACAAAGCAAGGGTCTTGGATGTCATTCTTGCTGGTGCCTGGGGATGTGACATAAAGACCAGTTCTCCTACTTAAAGATTCGATTTGGTTCATTGAAATCAGACTCTTCCTGGGATGGCTTAAAAATTTCAAAACAATTTGACAACAAAAATCTTTACAGTGAGTTATACTGTAGTTAGGGGAACTTCAATTCAAGGCCACATTCCCCAAAGTATATTTTTTGTTTTTTTTTAATAATTTCAATGGGGAATTATAGGGTTTTGTGGAAGGAAAAATAATGGTAAAACAAATGTTAAGCAGATTACTTTCTTGCAGTAATTCTCAGAGCCTTTAATATGTTAATGTACATTATGAGTCAGAGAGAGAGAGAGAGAGAGAGAGAGAGGAGAGAGAGAGTAGCATCTCTTTGGGGGGAAAATATTGACTTAGTAATTCCACCTTCCTCTTAAGCACTCTTTGCTAAAAGAAATTCCCCATCTATGTCAACACTTTTCAGAGGGCGTCATTTTCTTTTTTTGTGGCATGGCAAAAGCCCAAATGAAAATGCAAAGACCAGAAGTATATATTTTTTCAGTAAGAAAGAAATATTCTTTTCTCCTAAATTTTGCCTATTGAAGCCAGAACTGGTATGATTACTTTATATAAATATAATAGCTGTTCAGTGATCATGACAAACAGAAAAATATGACAAAACTGCTTTGTGAAAGAACACAAAGTTAGAAAAATGATTTACCAAAATATAACTTTAAAACATACTTTAAAAATAAAACTTGGGCTTCCCTGGTGGTGCAGTGGTTGAGAGTCCGCCTTCCGATGCAGGGGACACGGGTTCGTGCCCCGGTCTGGGAGGATCCCACATGCCGCAGAGCGGCTGGGCCCGTGAGCCATGGCCGCTGAGCCTGCGCGTCCGGAGCCTGTGCTCCGCAACGGGAGAGGCCACAACAGTGAGAGGCCCGCGTACCGGAAAAAATAAATAAATAAATAAATAAAACTTAACCATAAAAACAGAGATATAATGTGGTTTTATTACCAAGTATTTGAAAAATAGAATGACTCATTATTTTTGTAATTCCTAAGGGTACCATTTTATAATTTGCCCAAGGATTTGATTTGATATTCTAGTGGCCCCAAAGGTGGCAACATCTGCTTATAAAAGACCTGATTTGGACTGTGTGGGCTGCTGAAGTTTTTTCAGGCTTTTTCTCATTAAAACAAGATTGTACGGTAGACTGGCAGTGTCACTTTCTCACTCATGCTTCCCAAAGGCTTAAGCGGTCAGAATTTACCTTTTCCTTTTCTTTGTAATACCAATTTTGTTTCATAGTTAATGGGTGTAAAATATCCTCTGGGGAGAAGCTACAGAGTTTAGAATTTTTCCTTTCTCAGAAGTCAAAAGATAATAGATTATCAATTTATTTATCCTTCATTTCCCAAAAAATATTTTCTCACAGATTCCCTGCACCCCTCTTACCACCTTTTAACAAAAAATTCATGAATAATATGAAGTAAACACAACTGATAGTGGTACGGGCCTTGGCCCATCATTGCTTACCATTTAAGAGGTGCCTACTGCAGTTGGAAACTAATTTTTGGTTCCTGCGGATATAATATCCATGGATTTTCCAAAAATAAATGACTAGACTGGGCCCAAGTAAAAAATATGTCTTAATCACTGAAGCAGCTTTTTGTCTGACCATCATCTACTCACTTCTTTACTCTGACAGCTGCCTCCCCTCCTGTGGCATGAAAGGATACAGCACTAAAGGCGGAGACTGTCCTAAAGGATGGCTGGAGAGGCTACATGGAGGAAAAGAGAACCCTGGGATTGCAGGGCTGAACTGCCTATGCTGCCCTGAAGATTCCCTGCAGCAGGGTTATCCTTGCAAAGCAGGGTAAGAAAGGGAGTGGATCCTGAGCTCTGAGAGCTGCTCTCAGTCCTGTGGGATTTTTCCCTCAAAGAATTGCCCAAAGAGTCTGTTTTCTAGAAAAGTCTGAATGATGGCTGGATTACAGAGCTCTTGTAGCTCAGAGATGGACGGTGCTGGCTGTAATTCCTCTGCTTGCCTTCCTGACCCATTCTCCATCTTTCCCAGCCCTGCTCTGTGCCCAAGGAGACTGACCCCTTCTGATGAGAGGGCAAGAGGAGAGAGGGGTCAGGCTTTATTCTTTGCCCTCCCTCCTTAGTAGCTGCATCTCTATTGATAGCTGTGATGTTCCACACCTATGGCTCCCCTCAGGGAGCTCCAGCTCTCGCCAGGCTCCAAGACCACTTTTTCTTCTCCTTCAGCCCTAGGGGAATTAATGGCTTCCTGCTGGTGCCAGACTCTGGGTGCCTCAAAATCCTTCATTCATTTCCTTAACCCTGCCCACACCTCTGGAGGCAGTCCCTTTATTACAGTCTCCCCATTGTATTAAAAGTCTTACCTGTTGGGATAAATTCTGTTTCCTGTGGGGAACCTGGATGTTACACCAACTGACGCTCATTTTAATATCAAATTGTTAAAAGAGATCTAGATTTTGTAGAATATATTTCTTCACAACTTCAGTCAGAGTATTGCTTAGGAGTATGGGTGTTGGGGTCATGCAGATCTGTTATTAACTGTGTGATTCTAGGTATGCTTAGTCTTTCTCTCCAAGTGTCAGTTAAGTATCTCTATGTATGTCATCCAGAAAATGGAGCTAAAAACAGTATTTAATTCATTTAGCACATAAATTGTTGTTAGGATTAAATGAGATAATGTTTATAAAGTACTTAGCCTAGCACAGCACTTAAAAGACTGTCGATAAATTGGAGTGCTTCTTTCTTATTACTATTTAAGTATATTTCAATTTTCAAACTGTGATACTGCAATTTCTCTCTATTAATTGTTCAGTGTTTCTTACTTGTGAAACTAAAAGCCAAACACATTATAAAACATTATTATTAGTTTACCAATATGGATATTGAATGCTCAAGGGATTTGCACTGGTTTAAGATTAAGGACCAATAGCAGAGAAAGAAGGGAGTTCAAAAGCCTTGGCCTTGGTTACTTTTAGGAAGTAGCATTGTTCCTACCAACCCCCCAAAACGACTGCCCAGCTTTTCACGCTTTTCACTCCAGGCTATCACACACCCAGCCCTTCCTGGGTGATATGACACTTTCCCTTGTCCTTTAGTACAAAATAGAATTCCTCAGCTCATCTGCTCCACCTGAAATATACTAAATCAATTGGTATTGGTTTAATTGTGAATGACCAAAATCTCAAGACAATAGTAGCTTAAGCAACATGGAAGTTTATTCCTCCTTCACATAAAATCTGAGTGGGCAGGCCTGAGTTGGTAGGGTGCTCCATGGTGTCAAGGACTCAGGCTTGTTACTCTGCTATGCATGGCCCTTGTCCTTTTCTTTCAAGATGGAGCTCCAGCCATCACAGCCACTTTCCAAGCAGCAGGATGGAGAAAGGGGAGAAAGATAAAGGGCCTTGTGAAATAATAGAAAATATATATTGGTCTCTGCCTCCCAGGTCCAGGCACAGAGATCCTAAAACCCTTGTAATTTCCTAAGTGATAAGGGCATTAGGAGCATCTTTTGTTCTAATATTTGGCCTTTGACCCCAGTTCCTGACACAGAGCTCCTAAAGCCCTTGGAATTTTGGATGATAGGAATTTTGTTATTCTAATGAGGCAGCTCTTGGTGGGCTCTTGAATAGCTTCAGGATGGGGGCTGGTAACCAGAAAGACCAATCCATGATTAGAAGCTTGTAACTTCAATCCCACCCCTATCCTCTGGGAAGGTCTGGAAAGGGGCTGATGATTGAGTTAATAATTGATCATACAAAGCCTTTATAAAAATCCCCAAAGTATCGGGGGTTTGGAGAATTTCCAGGTTGGTAAACACATCCACATGTGGGGAGGGTGACAGACCCCAACTCCACAGAGACAGAAGCTCCTGTACTCAGGACCCGTCTGGACCTCTCCTCGTCATCTGGCTGTTCATCCGTATCCTCTACCACATCCTTAATTACATAATAAACTGGTAACTGTGTTTCCCTGAGTTCTTTGAGCCATTCACAAGGAGAGAGTCATGGGAACCCCAATTACAGCCAGTCAGTCAGAAGTATAGGTGAAAAGCTGAAACTTGTGATTGACATCTGAAGTGGGGGTGGGACCTGAGGCTATCTCCAGGTAGTGTCAGAGTGGAGTTAGATTGTAGGACACCCAGCCGGTGCCAGAGAGTTGCTCGATGTGTCAAACCCCACACACCTGGCAGCAGAAGTGAAGTGTAGTAGTAGTGTGAGAGGAAAGGAGGAACGTGGGAACTCACCTACACCAGTTCTCTCTTAAAACAAGCGTCCTAGAAGTTGCCATTGAACACTCCTGCCGTGAGCCTGTGGGCCACTAACCTCAGTTGGATGCCGCTCCTCTCCCCCACATCAGGGAGGCTGGGAAATGTCTTTATCCTGAGAAGTCAGGCATCCAGTGCAAACTTCTATAGCTATGGAAGAAATGAAGAGCAACCACTGAGGGCAACAAGCAACCTCTGTTAAAGACATCTTCCTCTCTACCGCTCTCCTTCCTCACCAATAGGAAAAGAAGGCAAGGAGATTTTTTTTAAAAAACCAGTGCCATCTTGACAGTAGAAGAGGGCATTTAATAGTGGTTTTCAGCTTCTCAGAAGAGGTACGGTGTGAAACTAAAAGAAAACCAGAGGGACTTCCCCGGTGGTCCAGTGGATAAGACTCCACGCTTCGACTGCAGGGGCCACGGGTTTGCTCCCTGGTCGAGGAACTAAGATCCTGCATGCTGCTGTGGCGAGGCCAGAAAAAACAACAAAAACGAAACAGAACTGTCTCATTCTGCCCCACCTTGAACTCTGCTCAGAGCCTGGTTTCCAAACATGAGCAATCAGTAGACTTTGTCTTAGACCGTTGCCACTGCCCAAACATACCAAGCAGTATTTGTGCTCTTTACCCAGAGCACAAATCTGGGTAAAGATAGCATTGACTGTAACTGGAATTACAGAATACATTTCATATCTGAGAGGTGGAGACAGCCTGCCACGCGGCATGCAGGACCTTAGCTCCCCAACCAGGGATGGCCCAGCCAATCATAGCACCTCATTCTCCTGGGCACAGTGATTGGTCCAGCTGAAGGGCTGAAGGGCATGTGCCCCAGTCTGGGCCAATTAGAGCCCTTTTCTGAGACTAGTTTGGGGCTGGAGGAGAAGGGGTCTTGCTTTTTGGAAGTATGTCAGTGGGGACTGCCGGCAGCCATATTTTTTTCCACTACATGAAGAACACCTGTCTGCAGTAGGAAAGAATGAAGACAATATAGACAAATGGGTAGAGGGCACAGGTGGCAACCTCCCTGCAGTTCCTCAGTCCAGTCAAACCCGAAGCTAGATCAATTTCTGGACTTCCCAGTTAGGTAATCCAATAAATCTCCTTTAATGCTTAAGCTAGTCTGAGTTGGATTTCTGTCACTTGTACAAGTCTGAACTAAAAAAAAAAGTAAAAGAAAAGTTAAACAACATGCTCTTTCTATTAGAAATACACTTAATAAACTTCTATGAGTCCACAGTAAATTCAACGAGACAAATGCTTAAGCAGGTTGGTATCTAAGAAATATTCGTTAGCATACTACGGACAAATCAAAGGTGTTTAGGAGAATGTTGAGGAAGTCAGTTTTGCTCATTTTTGCTGTCTTCCTTCTTACACTGGCAGTTTTTGCTTTTGAAATTGTAAGAAGAAAAACAATGAGTCAGTCAACAGAGAAGGGATAGAGAGGTAGTAAAAGGAGGTATGGGAACAGAGTGATGGAGAAGGGAATAGTGAGAGATGGCACGGAGTATCAGAGCTTCCAGCCTGGGAGTCAGGGGACCTGGGTCACAGCCCTGGCTCTGCCACTACTGCTCCATCTGCTTGGGTGAACCACTTTGACTAGTTGTAATTTCTACACCTGAGAAATAAGGAGGCCTGGAATAGAGGTGATTAAGGTCCATCTTGGCTCTAATAGTCGATCCTTCTAGTATATCCTTATTTCTAGCAGGAAAATGAAGGACACAAGGGAGTAGGATGCATCACTGTTGGAGTCACTGCTGTCAAGAGCATGACCTCAGGTTTCCCAAGAGGTCTAGCTCAGAAGGCAGCTGTTCCAATACCCCCAAACCAGCCTCAGATCATCCCAGGAAACTGAGGCTCTGGCTTTTCCCTGGAAGGGTCAAAACTTGGTCAACAATTATTGGGCTGGGGGTAGAGGTATATCCAAGACAGAGCTCCTTGTTTATAATTCATTAAAGAATTCATCAGACGCCCTGGGCAGACAGGGCAGAACCCACCTAATTGCCTTCTTCTCTCCCCACCCTCTTCCTGCCCACTGAGGAATCCTGATCCATATTAGATCCTATCCAGAGGAGCACACTGGAACTCATCCAACATAGCAAGTGCAGCCTGCCCAGCAGAGACCTGAGCAAACCAGTTTCACACAGGAAAATTCAATTGCCTGCTATTGTCACAGCCAGGGAGGCAGGGGAGGAGCACTCCTACCCATCACAGCAATTTTTTTTTTTTTTTTTTTTTTTTTTGCGGTACACGGGCCTCTCACTGTTGTGGCCTCTCCCGTTGCGGAGCACAGGCTCTGGACGCGCAGGCTCAGCGGCCATGGCTCACGGGCCCAGCCGCTCCGCGGCATGTGGGATCTTCCCGGACTGGGGCACGAACCCATGTCCCCTGCATCGGCAGGCGGACTCTCAACCACTGCGCCACCAGGGAAGCCCCCCATCACAGCAATTTAAGTAGGAGGAGAGATGAGAATGGGAAGAAGTGATGAATAAACACGGGGAAAGAAAGCTCTACAGAAGTGTGCTCCTGCTCAAAAGTTGGGGTTGAAGGGTAGTGTCTGAGAAGAAAGGAGTTTTCTTCTAGCTCTTTTAAACCATTTTCCCCATTTCAGCCAAAATAGCCAGCAAGAAGTTTCTCAGTTCTTACAGTGCTGACGAGTAAGACTTAGCTTAGCACAGAGCAGGTGCTTAATAAATCTGTATTGAATGAATAAGTAAGTGAATGGACGGAAAAATCTGTTGGTCACCATACTGACTCTCTTTGACGAACCACAAAAATGGAATATGCTCCACGGAAGAGACGGCATGACGAGGATGGGGCTCCTTGCAGGCTTAGCTGAGGCTAATGGTCCCCTCTCCAGACTATCCAGGCAGAGTCTGATGGGTCTGATGGGTCACATCACACAGAGGGTTATTTCCTTCAGTCAAGGAGCAATTACTGGGCCCTTCTTTTGGGTTCAGGACCATATAGACGTTAGTCCCTGACTTCTGAGACCTTGCAGTCTAACTGAAGAGATAGTCTTAGCCCACAGAACAATGATATGAATCATATAAATCACTAAATAAGCGGTCTTAAGTAATGTAGGGAGAACTATAATTGCAATTAGAGTCCAAAGAAAAGAGAGATGAGTGGGGCTCGAACAGTCTAGAAAGATCCATTAAAGTGGGATTTGACCTTGACGCAGAGAACAGACAAATGTGCATTCACTTGGGGAAAACTTGGGTTAATTTTCTGGACTCTGATTCCACCTGAGTCACAATGCTATTTTCCAGATGCATAGTCAAGTCCCCTTCCAACTTCCCTTCCACAGTCTGCATGGCAGGCGAGGTTTTCATCACCATTAGAGCAGAGGGGGGCTTCACAAAGAGCAGTGTAATCTGAGTGCTGATGAGGCCAACAGGTTTGATTCTGAAGATTGTTATTGCTGCCAGGCTATAACCTAGACATATAAATGTACTGCTTCAAATGTTCCATCAGGAGAATCGGCTGGGGAGCACTAATCCTAAGTGAAACCATCTTGATTACAAAGGAAGGAATGACAACACCATATTGCTTAACTGCTGAACCTTACAATGAAACACAAAGTGGCATTAACGTTCTCTGCCTGTAAGGCTGCAGTTTAAGCAGTTAATCTTATTTTAGCTGAATGGCATGTTCATTACAGCAAATAAGTAGGTAATGTGTGGGATTACTGAAAGGAAAGATAAATTAAACCAGTTATGGTTATAATGTTGATTTTATTTTAACTGTCTGATTTAACTTGGTATTTTTCAAGAGTCAGATCTAATATACACTCATTTAGCAGAGATTAAGCAGATGGGACTCTTGCCCAGAAAAGGTATTATATGCAACTTAAGATGCTACTTTTAAGGGCAGCAATCCAGGACACTCGATACTGGCTCTAGCCTGGAATCTTCAGTGCTTAAACTGGAGGGGTCCTGAATGGTAAGATAGCACTTCTCTCTTTCCATTAAATAGTTATGTTTTCACCATTTATGCTTTTCAAGGGCAGCTGAAGGACTTTTCTTCAAGGTCTCAAACATCCTTCTGTGTGGACCTGCTACAAAACAGTGTGTAGCTCAGGAATGTATTTTATCTTGTTTACATGTGCTTTCTTCACACAAGTGTTACCCTGACTCCAAAAACCCTTCATTGAACTACAGGTACAAGAGGAAAAAGAGATATAGTCCCTGAACTGGAAAGGATTACAATCTAGTCAGGAGAGGAGGGATAATAATCTCAAACATAAGGAACCTAGGAGACAATGTGAGAGGGTGTCTAATCAAGTGCCGAATTGCATAGTGCAATTGAGCAGAGTATGGAGTACTAGATACTGGGCGCTGCACTGGAGGCTCTTCATATACCTAATCTCATTTAATTTGCACAATAATCTTGTAAGGCCAGTATTATTACCTCCTATTTGTCCAAGGAAGGGGAAGTAAATTGCCTGTCCAAGGAAGGGAAAAAGCAGGAGTTTAAACCCAGGTCTAATTCTAAAGGCCTCGTTTTTTCCTTTATGACAAGCTGCTTTCTTAAATATGAAGAGTCAAGAGCAGAAGAAAATCATAAAAGATGTCATGAAAGGAGTGGAATTGGATCTGAGTCAGAATACACCTTCAATCCAACTTAAAAACAAAAAAATTCTTTACCAGTACCCACTTGACAATCAATTTTACTTCCAGAAACAGCCTAAAGAAATAACCTTCTTTCCACATAATACAACGACCTTAAAACATTTTAACTCCAAGAATCCTCTTTTGATTTTTATGCCATTGTTATGTGTTTTCATTATATATATGTTAATCCCACAGGGCATTATTGTTGTATAGTCAATAATTATTCAGATTTATTTATCTATTTTATCCTTCTTGTGCCTTTGGGTTTCCACCTAAGTTCATTTTATTTCTGCCTGAAGAACGATCTTTAGTATTCCCTTTAATGCAGGCCTTGCTTGTGATAATTCTCTCAGACTTTATGCCCAGATATGCCTTATTCCCCTTTCAATTTGAAGAACACATTTTTGCTGGGCATAGAATCCTAGATTGTCAGTTACTTTCTTTCAGCACTTTGAAAATACTCCGTTTACCTTCCCGCTTTCATTATTTCTCTTGAGAAACTAACAATAAGTTTAATTATTGCTCTCATGAAGGTAATGTCTTTTTTCTCTAGCTGTATGTATGTATGATTCTCTCCTTGGTTTTCATTTACTATGAATGTGACTAGGTTTTTGGGTTTGTTTTAAATCCTTTTTGGGCTTCTTAACTTGTGACAATGTTTTTCACCAGTTTGGGAATATTCTCAGCTATTATCTTTTCAAAAATTGTTTCTGTTCCATTTTTCTCTCTCCTTTGCTTCAGGGACTCTAAATACACTTATATTAAATCTTCTCACGATATCCCCTATATCTCTTACACACCCCACCCCCCATTTGTATTTACAAACTTTTTTCTCTGCAGGTTTCCTTCTGGAGATATTCTTCTAATTTATTCTTAATCATTTCTTCAACCATGTCTTATTGGTTATAAAACCCTTCCACTGAGTTCATTTCAGCTACTATATTTTTGGTTTGGGATTTAGTTCCTATTTATGTTTTCCATCATTATCAACCTTGCTTTTTTTGTTTCATCTCTTTACCCATTAAACGAATTGCACAGCAATTTGCTGTCAAGAAAAAACTTGACAACAGAGAAGCAATCAATGAGCTCCAGTCCCACTTAGGATATAGAAAAACAAGAAGTTCTGCTCCAACAAACTATGTTTATTTGGGCAGAGTACAGAAGGAAGAGTAGCAGCCAAAACAGTAAGAGGAAAAACCCGAAATTTTAACAAATGCTTAAAGACAAAGTATGGGCCAGTGTGACAGCTTAGAATCTCCAGGAGGCACAGATACAAGAAGAGTCTGCCCTCACTTGCCAGCTCTTTTCTATAGGCCTCCACTGGGTGTTCATAAGAAAAATGGGGGATAGATCAGGAAAACTGAAAGAGCCACCCTTTGGTGACACAGGCATGCAGATAACAACCATCTGGCGCTGGGGTAAAGGCATGAAACCCATGTTCTTTTATACAAAGAAAGAGCCATTTGCCACTAGTGGAGTGGTACAAAACCTTCCTGTTCCCTGGTTCCAGGAAAAGGCTGTGGTAGAGAAGTTGAAGGAAAAAGCATCAGATGCTAGAGGGGGGTAGGAAACCCACCTGTGACCAGGATCCTGCCCTAATGCAAAGCATTAGGTGTGCTGCCAGTGAGAGAGGGACAGGAAACTTACTCTCATTTAAGAACCGTCCCCCCCCCCATTACAATGCAGAGTCTGACTGCCATGGGGAGAATGAGGTGCACCTATAAAGCTCAAGAGCCCGGGGCCTGCATGAGACTGAGGCTAGCGGGGAAAACACTGCCTGCCCCAAACACAAAACTTGCTCAAAGAAACAAGCAACAGATCCCTAGAGCTAAGGGAGGGGCAGGACTTGTAGAGATTCCACTTGTAGTATAGTTGTGCAGTCTGCTGAAAGCAAGAGGGTGAAGCAGGGTCACTGAGAAAAACTCCCTGGCATTCTAGGCCACTCACTAAACACAAAGTAGCAGCAGTTCACCACTGGATGAATTTTAAAGCTGTGGTATATTGAAGGTTACAATATCAACAATAAAACCCAAGCCCAGATCAACTACTACTGAGAGTTACTTGGTACCCCCACACTAATGGCCCAAGAGAAGGAGAGGTGTGCCCACTGTACGTATAAATACTATTTACCTCAGTTTCTACTGTTCTTTTACATGCAATGTCTGACATTCAATCAAAAATTATAAGGGCTTCCCTGGTGGCACAGTGGTTGAGAGTCTGCCTGCCGATGCAGGGGACACGGGTTCGTGCCCCAGTCCGGGAGGATCCCACATGCCGTGGAGTGGCTGGGCCCGAGAGCCATGGCCATTGAGCCTGCGCGTCCGGAGCCTGTGCTCCACAGCGGGAGAGGCCACAGCGGTGAGAGGCCCGTGTACTGCAAAAAAAAAAAAAAATTATAAGACATTAAAAAGCAAGAGAAAAAAATGACAATGATCCACTGTCAAGAGATAAAGTAGTTAACAGAAGTAAATCCAGAGATGACCTAGATATTGACACTATCCAACAGGAATTTAAAATAACTGTGATTAAAATGCTAAGGGATCTAGTGGAATGAGTGGACAACATACAAAAACAGAGAATTTCAGCAGAGAGATAGAAACTATAAAAAAGAGTTAAATGGAAACCCTGGGAATAAAAATACAGTATCAAGAGATGAAGAATCATTTTGACAGGCTTATTAGTAGACTGGACACAGCACAAGAAAGAATCAGTGAACCTAAAGTAGGTCAATAGAAATGATGCACATTGAAACATAAAAGTAAAAGAGAGTGAATAAAACAGAAGAGTGCATCCAACAGAGCTGTGGGACAATATCAAATGGTCGAACATAAATCTAATTGGAGTCCCAGAAGGAGAAGAGAGAGAGAGTACAGGACAGAAGAATATTTGATGGTATAATGGATGAGAATTTCCCAAAATTAATGATATACAACCAAAAATTCCAAGAGGCTCAGAGAATCCCAAGCAGAATAAATACAAAGATAAACATACCAAGACACATCATAGTAAAACTGTTGAAAATTGAAAGTTAAGAGGAAATCTTGAAGGCAGTCAGAAAATAAAAATGTTACATAGAGAAGAACAAATATAAGAATCACAGCAGACCTGTCATCAGAAAATTTGCAAGCCAGAAGGCAATAGTGATTTCTTTAAGGTACAGTTGACCCTTGAACAACATGTCTTTGAAATGTGCAGGTCTACTCATACACAGATTCTTTTTCAACATATATACAAAAATATATGTGTAGAACATCATATGCAAGACTTGTATTGAAGTGGATAGCCTATCCCTACATAGGCACAGGGTGAGTGATATTTAACATAACATTAATGATATTAGTTTTCTTACTGTTTTATAACTTTGCTTTCAAAGAATTACGTAACTGTACAGTATGCCTCTCTCTTTCATAATTGGAGAAACTGTGTATTAGCCTATCATCACAGGGAAGTGTTTTTTAAAAATATATAATTATTTTTTCCAATACTGTATCATGAATATGACTGCAATAAGGCATGCCATAAAAATTTTATGCATGCCATAAAAATTTTATAACAATTCATTCATTAGTGAGCAGGCTAGGCTACCATGAAGCAATTGTATTGATTATCCTAGGCTACCATAAAGCAATCATATAGCTGCTTCTTCATAATCAATGCATGAATTGTTATACCTGTAAATAAACTGAATTTCTTTTTCAGGTTATCTCTTCATTTCTGATGTCTAGTGTTAGTAATACGTATAACATCTACAGTATTTTGCATCATATAAGACAATACTGATGTAGGTACTGACAGACAATTCATCTTGTAAACAGATGACATAAACTTATAGTATCGATAAATACAGTACAGTACTGTAAACATATTTTTCTTCCTTATGATTTTCTTAATAACATTTTTTCTGTAGCTTACTTTATTGTAAGAATACAGCATATGGACTTCCCTGGTGGCGCAGTGGTTAAGAATCCACCTGCCAATGCAGGGGACACGGGTTCGAGCCCTGGTCCAGGAAGATCCCACATGCCGCAGAGCAACTAAGCCCATGCGCCACAGCTACTGAGCCTGCACTCTAGAGCCCACGTGCCACAACAACTGAAGCCCACGCACCTAGAGCCCATGCTTTGAAACAAAGAGAAGCCACCGCAATGAGAAGCCCGCGCACCTCAACGAAGAGTAGCCTCCACTCGCCACGACTAGAGAAAGCCTGCGTGCAGCAACAAAGACCCAATGCAGCCAATAAAAAAATAAATAATAAAAATAAAATATAGCACTTTAATTTCCTTAAGCTACTTTGTTTATTTCAAAGTGCCAAAAAACTAAAGGTGTTCTGGTGCACACACATATGCTGTGAATCTAAGAATTCAGAACTATGCAAAGAACTTTTCAATACGACTTTACAAGTGAAATATTTACACACTTTACTGGTAGTGCTTAATGCTTATTTTTGAAATCTATTGCTGATGCTCCTCTAAAGAGCAATGACTCAACCAGAAAAATATTAAAGGCTGCCTTTTCTTTTGTAAAGTGCTTATTAGCAACCATATCCAAAAGCAATGGTTTTCAGAAATACATGATATTAAAAGGTGCTCAAAGAGTCACCTCTTACAGAATCAAATATGCCATTTTGTAACTTTGTACATGTAAACTGATTTTATCTGCATTAATGAAAGATTGCTTTCAATGGCCCTCAACCATATGCTTCAAATCAAGACAGTGCTATTAGCATCAGCAGCATGAACAGTAACAGCAGAATAAAACCCAGCACATTTTAAATGGATCACAGCAGACTAGAAAAACTGTAACAGCTTTTGGATATGTTGCATATCCAAGGATGAGGCTTCTCTTTCACTCTGCATATATGGTAAACATTTTAAAAAATAATAAAAACACTTTCTTGTCTCTCTGTAAGAGCATTTTACAGTGTATAAAAGGATTCAGATTCTTGTACCAATTAAGCAAACTGTTTTTCTATATAAAGTAGGCTTTATATTAAAGAAAGAAAGAAGGAAAGAAAGAGAAAAGAAAGCCTATTTCCACCAAGACAGCTAGAAGGAATTAACAAGTGAAACACCTAATGCTAAAAACCTGAGGGAAAAAAATGTGAACAATTCTGAAATGAAGCTTTTTTGAAAGGTTGACATAAACATTCCAAAAAGGAATTTGTTTTCGAGTGTGAAGTATCTGACTTCATTTCAATCATATATCACTTTTATCTGATTTAAATAATTTAGGAAAAAAATAAGCATCATCTTAACTGAACTACTTTCTGTATCAGATTCTCTTTCTGACTCATGCCCCCCAGTACGAACCATTCAATACTCTTATAGTGAGCATCCCCTCAGGTCCCTGTCTATTTTCTGAATCTTAAAAGCTTTTTTACTCCTCCTTTTTTTTCCCCTCCAAAACTCCCCATATATCCCAAGAGAAAATTCCTATTAAAAAATCATAATTTAAATACATTGTGACAATGTTACATTTGATTTAAAGAGGTAATAAATTATAAATTGCCAAATAATATAATTCACAATGCAAATCCCTGGTATAAAAAGAATCCATCTTGCCCTGAATATAATAAAGCAGTCCAGTGATTTCAAATTACTTATGAAATAAAGGCAAAAATAAGGTGTAAAACACTATTTATAAAAGTTAAGTAAGAAACCAGTTACCATAAATCTTTTTACAAAGATAAATGTAATGGGCCTTTCCATTTCTAAAAATTTTGGGGGAGGTTTATAACTAGTGGTTTCAAAAATGACTTTAAGGAAACCAGAGATTGAATTACATATTATTTGTAATATATGACATATTAAATATATGTGACAATAATACTGCAATGGTAAGAAACTTAAATTAATCTTTGGACTTGCTACTTCTCGGCAAGTAAATTTTTTTCAAAGTCTTTGCTATAACTGATTAATTTTTAAATGTTAGTTCTCAAAAACTTTGCTACTAGAGATACTATGTTAACTAAGGAGATACTGGAAGTCTCAAATAGTAACAATATGCCTACAAAATAAAACAAGATTGTTCTTGCATCTTTTGTTAGTATAACAAATACACTTTAAGATAGACAACATTGCTATGCCTGTAAATTAAAAATACCCAAACCTTTAAAAAGGGGGTGGAACAGGAAAGAAAAATTGAAAATTCTTATTTAAAAATAAATCTGAAGTCCTTGCATTTCTTAAGAACTTGACTTGTCAAATCACGGTTTATCTTCTTTTGGACCAAGCTGTGTCTTCCACCATTCATCCATGGGATATGATGTCAATTCTCCATTCTGTAGGTTTCAGTGTGAATTTTCTTGAATGTTTGCAAAGCTGGTACTGGACTTGAGACGTTTGGCTAAATAAATCAAAAGTATTATATTTTAACTTAAATTTAATTCTCTAAACATAATTATTCATTATTTTATGTAAACTATAGTATTCATCTATTAATTCCATGTTTGAATCTGAATAGATTCAATCTTATAAGAATTAAACCTAAATCTATTTTTTTCTACCAACCTCAAAAGATATAACTTTGCTAGAAGCTGCACATGATTTTGTTAGAAGCAGTGCCAAATAAAACAGATGTAATTTATATCATCCTGAACAATACAGTCTTAAATATGTAATAAAAATGAAAGTACTCTACTTTAAAAATGGAAGTGCTGTAAAGTATAATAATAAAATTATATATTTGAAAGTCTAATCTAGAAATCCAAATCTAAATTTCTCTTAAAAGAATTCAGTAAAAGAACTCTGTAATGTTTAAAAAAACAAACATTCAAATGGTTTACAAAGAAAAGTGAGTTGGATATTACACACATGTGCACAAACATATATGGCAGCTAATAAAATATGTACAATCAGTTTTGATCATGATGCTAAAGGGACTGAGTCATTAGAGTTAATAAAGAAAATCATGGCTATTTGGCTTGGTAATATGTTTTGTTCTTTAGTTAAACATGAATGTTTCTCATGTTCCAGAAATTAAAAACAACCATGCCATAGTGAAAGTATCTTACATTGGATAACTAGGAATCTCTCTACTTCAGAGGTTCTCAACACTAGAATAGAGGTTATGATTTAGAAGGTCTGCAATGGGATTCAGACATTTAATTTTTGTTTTTGTGTTTCGAAAGCTCTGCAGACAATTCTGACATGTGGCCAAGGATGAGAACCACTGTTCTAGTTTCTATCAGGGTCTCCCCTGACAACTGTAAGTAGAAGATGACAACATGGCTTCCTGGACCAGTGCATTGTTTCAGCCTAAACTTAAAAAGCAACTTAAACTA